CCTCAGATTTATTAAATTGAGACATATATTAAAGTTTATTTAAGTTCAACTCCCTAATTTTGTAGATGAGTCCTTGAAGGCCCAGGAAGACTGAGTTACTTCGTCCAAGGTAACTGAACAATCATTGTGACCAGGCATAGAACCAAAACTGTTCTATTTTCTCATTGGTAAAATTTGCTTGACAGTAATTTTACATAGAAATAATAACTAAATACCTAAAAAGGATTTTTATATGTGATCTTATGCAGTGTCCTATCTCCTGAATTAATCGGGAAACTTATTTCGTAAGTACTGTCTGCTGTGGAACCTTCTATAAATCCATTGTTCTATTTTTGCTTTCCACGTAAACCTACTCTTTTTTTATACGTAAATACACAGCCATAAAATCTGCATTTTTAACAATTTCCCTAGGTGATTTTAATGTAATCCGGGTTTAAGAGCCTCTGGAGTTATCATCATCGCCAGCACCACCATGCACTGCTGCCCATTTGGGTATGAGGAAGGATCGAGGACTGGCCTGCTTCGGGTCCCATACGGCATTTTGGCAGTAACCCTGCAAGAGGACCTGGGAGGCAACCCCCTCCCCCAGGGCTGGATGCATCAGCTTCAATCTCAGGAGGGTCACCTGATTTCAGATTGTCTCTTTTAAACTCTAACTTTCCTGAAGCACCCAAAAAATTGCCCTCTTTGTTAAAACATCTCTTCTTCTTTCTACTTTTTTCGAAGATGATCTCTTACGATTTAAAATAGGAATGATTTTATATTTTAAATGGGTTTTTGTGTTAAAATAAGGGAAAAAATAGAAAATAGATATAATTCTGCCTGTGAGTATAGAGCAATAAGGGAAGTATAGTCTTAAGTCATATTTTTTCCTCTATGAGTCAAACCAAGTAAAAAAAAAAATGTTTCTCTTTACATATCTGTATAGACACAGACTAGAGTTCTTACTCTCCCTCCAAGTTCGGTTTGCTTACATTTTATTTTGTTTTATTTATTTTGTTTCATTTTGTTTTATTTTATTTTGGTGCCAAAGAGTATTGAAGATTATTCCACTGGTATTAAATAATAATGATGTTGATAATAATATCTTAACCAAGGCCACGCAGAGTATAAATGACACAGGCAGGATTTGAATGCATATATACCTGGATTGAAATCTCAGCTCTTGTCACATACCACATTACTCTCTAACAAAGAAGTCAGGGATATAAGTCATAGCAAATTACTTCTTACACCAGTGCTGCTGCATGCAGTCCCTGGACCTGTACTTAGGCCTCTGCAGAAGGATGAGAAAATCAGAACAACTCAGGGCTTAAAATGCAGAGAATTGGGTACAGAGGTCATGGAGGAATCAAGAGCCAAAGAGAGGACTGTGAAGTAACCCAGACATCTGCAACCACAGTAAGCCACTACCACCCTGGACTGAGAGGCAACAGGAGGCAAAGTTATCAGAGGGAGTGAGTCATCCAGTGAAAGCTAGAACTCAATAAGCCACTCCATAAAGGAGACCCAGACACTCTGAAGTGGTGACTTGGGGCAGAGAGAGAAGGTAAGAAGTACCCCGGTTTCTCCTTTGCTGTTATACTCCAATCTCCTGACAGTGCCTCCCACTGGCCCAACCCAAACCCAGAAACCTGAAAAACCAAACTTTAGGAGTTGTTTCCCTCTCTACAGAGCAGAGTCAGGGAAGGGCAAAGACTGGGTCTGAGGGCAGACAGATCTAAACAGGCACATCCACACTGGACATGTGACTTTAAAAACGTCTATTATGCAAGCAGATATATCTTTATATTACTTGTAACTCACCGAATATTGGAAAACAAAGAAAACATTACTGAACACCTTCCCACCAAGGGCCAGCAGAAACATCTGTCAGGCTAATAATTAGGAGTACGAATTTTGTTATTATCTGAGGAAAAGGGAAGCTGGCTACAAATAAGTGTGGTCATCTGGCTCATATTTTTGGAAGACTAACTTACTGAAATATTTTTAAGATGGCCTTTTGCATGATTACCATATGATTACATATCGTCCGAGGAGTTGGCAAGCTTGTTCTAAGAGTCCTGGAAATAATTCTTCGGAAATGTGAAGGTGTTCGAGACTTCTGAGTCTCTGGAGAAAGTTCTAGGTGACGGTCCTGGAGCCCAAGTTCCAGTCAGTCGTGCTCAGGGGTCTGACGGCTACCACATTCTGATTAACCGGCAGTCGCCGGAAGGGAGAGTTAGAGCGCCCTCTACGGGAGAGCTGGCCACACCGGGAGCAGTGGCTGGGCACCTTTCAAGTCTTCCTCAGGGTTGTCACCACCAGGGTACTTTTTCTCCAAAATCTTCCTGAAATATAGCTGTGGTCTTATTATAGCTTGCGTCAAAGGAGAGTCTGTATATGTTATATTGTGTGTGTACTGTCATACATTCAGATTAACGACACGCAAAAACGTGAGACAGCAACAGAGCAGCGAAGTTTCTGTGTTCTCAGAACTCAGTCACAAAACGTGGCTGGCATCTCCTCGGAGATCTAAGGAGAAAGCAGAAAAGATGTCTTCTGGGGATATGGCTCTCCTGACTTACAGAACCTTAAAAATCATTTTATCCTGCGTTTTTAAAGTAAGTGTCTAGGTCGGGTACTTTGTGGTTAAGATCATAGACTTTGAAGTCTGTTTTTCCCTTTATTTTTACAAATCTGTCCCTTTTTCTCTACCCCTACTACCACTCCTCCTCACCTGTGCTATTGCCACAGTCACTGACCACCTTCCTCTCCAGCTTCCCTCTCCTTGCTGCCACCGCCTGTAGGGTCTTTCTAAGCAAATAAGGTCAATCATGCTCAGGGTCCTCCAACGGGCTTCCCAGCCTCTGGGAAAATGTCCAAAATCCGCAGCAAAAAAATGTGGTCCTACCCACCCTCCTGCGTCAACTCACCTATAGCCCCTGCTCTGGCAAGCCCTGGGCACTCACTTCCAGGAAAGCTCCAACCTCCCCAGGCCAGGTAACTGCCCACCCTAACCTCTCCAAAGTATTGCCCGCCCCTTTGCTGGCCGGCAAAGCCGAGTCTAGACGGCAAGCAATGGCTTATTCATTTGAGTATTGCCCAACATCCAATGCCTGGGACTAAAACTGTACCCTCCGGTATTTGAAAAGCACTTTTTACATACTGTTGTCTCGTATTTGCTCCATAATCTCATAAACGCTTAGGTGGCAGTATTTTCTAATCAAATAGGCGAGGGAATTGAGGCCCAAAGAAGTCAGTGGCCCACGTTAGACTCTCAAGTGGCAGACCCAATACTCAAAACTCTTGGTTCTCTGAGGGGATCTCATGTAAGACTGAGAATTCTACAGACATGGGTGCGAATTCCGACTCAGCCAAGGACTGGCTAAGGCTCTGAGTGCACCACCCTACGCCTGTGTCGTCGTCCGTAAAGAAGACAGTAATTACAACTCGAGCTAGTTATGCGAATGAAATAAAACAATGCCTGCGAAGTGTCTAACAGTGCCTGGCTCACAGCCACAACTATAAATGCGAGTCCCCTATCTGACCCCAAGCTTAGCGAGCTGCTTCTCCTATTTCTACAGCAGCTCCTCCTTCTCTGAGCTACGGAGGCCACTGAGAGTGACAACTGTGGGGCACTGTGCTTGTTTTGACGCGATAGCTGCATCAGGTACCAGCAGTCTTTAATGGAGTGTAAAGACTATGGGCACAACAGTGTTGAGAAGACACTGGGGGAACTAAGGAGCCCTGGGAGGCAGGAGTTGGATGGAGGGACCCTTGGGGGGCGTTGGTCAACCGAAGGAAAGAGGCGCCCCAAGGTCCGCACCACAGGGGAACCCACCCACACCTCCCGAATCTCCAGTCTCCCCCAAGTGGCCAGCGCCCGCACCCCTCCCGCACACTTCACCTCTTCTACCGCCCTCACTTCTCAGCATCTGGTACTGACTCTGGAGGGTCCCAAGGCGGAGAAAGCTGGGGGACCGAGCTCGGGAGTGAGCGGGAGGGAGCGAGGCCCCGCCCTTGTGCCCTCCCTCCTCCACCCGCGGCGCCGGCTGGCTGCAGGCGAGACATGCGCACCCGGTGGCGGGGCTCAGGGCGCTGGGAGGCGGGGAA